ATTCATTGATAATTTTATTTTATTGACGAATTTTACACACCATCAACGAATATTAATCGTTGGTAATATCAAGTTTTGTGTAATTATATTTTTGTATCTTTCTAAGCAATCATAATTCAAAACTGTCATATATACATTGATATGGATAATATAAATTTATATATTGATCTATATAATATAAATTTATATACCTAAGTTACTATAGATGATGACAATAGTATTGATGATACTTTAAATTCATGAGATAACTAAAAATCCTTATTTTATTTTTTGTACTCATTTTGTCTAAGTTTTGACTTTTAATTAGGTTATCTTGTGAACTTTTCTAAATTCACATTAAATTGATGCAATAATTTATTTAACTTTTATTATATTATTTTTGTGTGTATATATATTAATGTCAATTTCATATGGATTAAAAATCCTTTTGTACTTTAAATTAGGTAATGAAAATATTCCTATTTGTTTTGCTTTAATTACTAGTGTACCATATGACCGAACGGTCGTTATTGTCCACAATGAAGACATGACTGGACGACCAATAAAGAAAACAAATTGGCCGGTCGGGACGGTTGATCTCAAAAGCGTAAATGATTAATGATTAAGGAGATTAAGGTAAATCACGTTTAAGTCAGGCCCATGCTCGAAAACTATAAATGTAAGTCAAAGGTAATAGGTAGGTAGAGACAATTACTATGCATTTATTACTATCATTGTCGTATTAGATAACCGGACGGTTCAATTACTGATTTTGGCATCGGAGTATCTTTAACAAGTACACACCGACCGGACTAGCGGACTAGGGACCCAAGGAGCAAGACCGAATGACGAGGAAGGACAAATTGTGAATGTGTTTAGTGACTCAGTCCCATAACTGAAAAATTTTGGTGCCCACCGTGGGGCCGAGTTTCTTGATAAACCCAATGGTGATAACGAGAAACATAAGCGTTGACGATCCAGTAGAGATGATCCAAATGTTGCAATAGAAGATGAAAGAGATGCAGCAATGCCATAAAGGAAAACTCATAGCCGTAAGGGTCGAATGCTCAGCTTGAATCGCCCAGGAGAACGAATCAGGGGCAGTTGAGAAGGAGGGAGAGCAGCACGCTAGGGAGCATGGCAAGGTCGCTCTGGAAGATAAAATCGAGCGTAGCGGTACGCCGGACGAAACAAGGAAACCGACGTAGCCGAAAGTCGAAGGGAGTAAGGCTAAGTCCGTCCATGCCAAGAGCGCCGCCGTGAACAACCAAATTGTAGTAAAAACCAAGAGCTCATCCACCCTGCTTCCGTTCATCCAGGCGATCATGGATGTCCACATATCAGAGCAGTTCGTCCCGCCCCAGTTCAAGATGTACGACGGGACAACAGACCCAGAAGCCCACATCAAGACCTTTACTAACACAATGGCGTTCCGTACAGGCAATGACGATATCTGGTGCCGAGCGTTTTCCCTTTCGCTGGGTTGCAGCGCATGTTTAACCGTCAGTTCGCAGGTAGTAGCACTCAGGACTTGACCATCTTCGAGTTGGTCAACCTAAGGCAAGGGAATGAAGAAACTTTAAAAGCATTAATGGATCACTACCAGACACTACAAGAAATATTGCATTTATATACGGATATTTATATACGGATTATAATCCGTATGTAATTCAGATATTACATACGGATTTTATATACGGATTATTACCATCCGTATGTAATTCAGATATTACATACGATTTTATATACGGATTATAATCCGTATGTAATTCAGATATTACATACGGATTTTATATCGGATTATAGAGCCAGGTGTTACATGCGGATATTATAACGGATCAGAGAAATAATTATTTTAAAAAAATATATTCTGATTAAGGGAAGCTGGGTGTCATTTCTCTCAACCTCGAGCTTTCCTCTCTTTGTTGAACCCTGGACATTTCTTCTCTGTCGAACCATCACGCTTTACTTTCTCTTTCGAACCATCTTTGGTCTCAGTTCGGGTCCTCCTGTGGAGCCATCTTCGTGTGGGTGTTGTCTTTGAGTAGTCGTTCGGTGTGGGTGTAGATCGTGCTTTGGTTCTCGTCGCCTTCTCTGTCTATTATTGTGACCTTCATCAATCCTTCATCAAGCACTGTGGTTGGGGCTCATTGTTGGGTGCGGTGTCGTAGTTCGGTGTTGAGTAGCTTAATCGGGTAAGTAAATCAAACCCTAATGCTTAGTAAATTTGGTTCTTCTCTGGCCATTCCTTTCATGAAGCGATTGCCATCAATCATAGGCTTAATCTCGAACCATCATCTTCGTCGCTGGAACCGTAGGAGTCCCTGCCTTCAATCGTGGTGTTCCAATCGTGGTGCCGTTGTGGGGTAATCGTGTTCGCCGTCAACGCCGCCGTGATGTTCCAGTTGCAGAGGAACCCTAGGACTGTTGTTCTCGCACTCTGATTTTGGGTCGCCGTCATTCCGTCTCGGGGAGAATGTGGTGAGTCCAGAATATGTTCCTTTAATATATATCTTTATTTGTTTGGTGTGTAGTGGTAATTAAATTTTGTTCATTCATAAGTGATTTCATTTGTAAAATGAGAAAATCCTAAACCCTTTTGTCTTTGGTATTTCGGCACAAATGGGGTTTGGTTTGGTTGGTGTGTTGCGGAATACTTTGGTGCATTTTTAGGACATTGAGTGAACATTCAGAGGCGTGTTAAGGTATGTTTACTAAATATGTTCTGTGGAGAACATACCACAGAACGTAAATTGCTTCCTAACTATCCTACTCCTAATAATTCTACTGAGTTTCTTCTCTGGTTGCTGCTGTTCCTTTTATACCAATTCTCTGACCAACTCCCGTAGGATCCTCCTTGAATTCAGACTAGTTGTTTTGTATTGTTCTCAATTGGCAGCCTGAATCCTTCCAGCTTTCACGTTTGTTTTTGTCTCCCCCGTTCCTGACTTCCTTCAACTCCTAGATTTGCCAAGGAAATAGGTGAGGCCTTACATCTCTTGTCTTCTTTTTCATGCCGTGGACACCCTTCTTCTTCCCATTCACACATCTGTTTCATTCTCTGCTTGATGTGAATTTTCTTCCATCCATGGCTCCCTTCTTCATTCCTCTTTGAACGCTACCCATGGGTCCCTTGCTTACTGGATGCGCTGCTTCTGCTGTGATCGTGATGGACGCTGCTTTCAAGCTTCTCCTCTCCGGTGATGCTTGTTGGATGGTTGCTGCATCCTCTCATTCTTCCATGACCAAAATGTTGTGTGCTTTGAACGTGGCAGCTGTTGTAGTCCAGCCAAGATTCACGTGAATCTTCTTCTAGTAGGCTCCCTTCACCATTCCATGACAATGAATCAACTCTTCTCCCTTTGGTCCTCCAAAACAATCTTCAAGAAAACATCCAAAATAGCATGCTAAGTGGTGGCTGGATGGTGCTTCTAATGCTAGACCAGAACCGTGGAGCTTGCTGGACTGGAAGGCCGTGAGTGCTGCTGCCATCTTCCGTCAAGCTGCTGGGCTTTCTTTTCTCCAAGGACCAAGCCGTGACCAAACTTGCTGCTGCATCTCAAAACGTTTTCTGGACTTCCTTCTTGAAAACAATAAAGAACCGAACACTCTTCAATTTGTGGCCATGATGTGCTTTTGTGTTTTTCATTGAAGAATCAAAACCAAGTGGAGTGGAATAGCACCGTAAAACAATATGCAGACTCTCTCAAGCTTTCTTTTGTGTGGGCTGTGACACCACTCCCTTTTATAATAAAATTCAGCACATTTTTGGATCTCCTCTACGTGAACTTTCAAATTGGTGGCCCCTCCATTATGTACTTCTTCTTAATGCTTTCACAATTGTCCAAAACCGTGGCCCTTTTGCAATTGTGTCCCCTTCTTTCATTCCATTTACTTCTTAAAGGATTCCAAGCAATGGCCCGTGAGATGTCTCCAATTTTATTCCAACTTATGCTTTGGCTTACCAAAATGAATTTGAATGGGTCCATAAATGAATAATTAATTGAGTGGAGCTGCTCCCTTTGTAGATGAAACCGTAGCCAATAAAGAAGTACATCATAAAAATTAAACTCCTTCCTTCTTTCCACCCATGATTAGATGTCTCGAGAAAAATACAATTATGGGTGGCAATAACTGATTTATGATTAAAATACTGTTGTTGGAATGAAATTTAGTTCCCAATCATGGGTGGAAGAATATTAAAGGCTATGAATATTTTTTTATATTACTAGAATTGAACTTAAGATAATAATTTATGAATATACTTTTGTTCTCAATCCAGTAAAAACATTGTTTTAATAACAAATTGTTAAGTTCATGCGACTTAAGGTACCTATTTTTGGTTGGAACCTTAGTTAAGATTACTAATGATATATTACTTTATCCATCAAAAGAGATAATAAGAGACAAGGAATGTCTGATAATGAAGTACATTTTATCCAAAGAAAAAAAAAAGTAAAAGTTTACAGATTTAGAGTAAGTAAAATATTTAGATATATCTAATAAAAATTTGAAACATGTGCATATCCGAGTTTACATTTAATGAGAAGTCTCATTTATTTTTTCTTACCCTATATATGCTATCAGAAAAGAAAAAGGAAGTGAAAGAAAAGAAGGTGAGTAGAGAAAATGAGGCCATGTGAAATAGACTAATAGGGTCCATGGAGGCAATGAGATAGGGTTTTTAATAATATTTTTGTTATGTGTTGGTGAATATGAACTAAAGCACCAGGGGGCACCTTGCTATCAGCATTGCATTATCTCTGCACCTCCACCTCTCTATAGTGCATGTTTTTCATAGCTTTTTCTGTTTTATTTTTCGTTGACAGGGTAGGTAGTATGTTTGGAAGTTAATTTTACCTCTAGTTGACGAATGTCTTCTTTATCTTTAATGTGAATGACAGGTGAAGTTGCCTTAGACATGTGGTCCTGTATTATAGCTTTGCAACAGTTTGGTTCCCTACTTATCCTGTATTAGGTTCCTCCCTCTATATAGTTCACTTGTTTCATCATGATCCCATTTCAATTTAATTGGCCATGGAGCTTTCTCATTCTAGTGTCGTCTAATTCTTAGTTTTGGTGCAAGTGTCTGGTTTGAAGTCCATCACATCTAAACACCTGGCATTGGCAAGTTAAGTAATTAGGTATATAACCAGCCATAACAAACCTCTCAAACACCTGGCATTGGCAAGTCAAGTAATTAGGTATATTTCTCCCTTTTTTCTCCAGATTCAAAGATCTGGGTGACCTTTAATGATTTTTTATACTTTCTTCATCAGAATCCTGGTTTTGAATTTAGTTTGAATCTGGGTCTGGTTTTTAGATCACATGTTTTCTATGTATAAAAGCTTTTGGTTGGTACAGAAACTTTTGTTTCAAGTGTTTCACATTTATTTTGTGTTGTTCTGGAAACATTCTTTAGTGATTCATTATAATAGAATATGGGTTGAAACAATTTATAATTTTGGTTACAGAAGTTTGTACTCAAGTTGGATTTGCATGATGACAAGGAAAAGCAGAAGCCTTCAAAACAGTTTCAACTCTTTCAGGTACTAAATAGTAGTTTTTGTTGTACTAAATAGTAGTTTTTGTTGCTGTTGATCTTGTTCATTTGCTGTCTGTTTTTCTGTTCCTCCACTATTTTTTTATTATTTTAAATTATCATTTTATCATCTTGAAAAGAATTATTTAGAATCAGTCAACATGACAGTGGTAGAAGGTTGCACATCTCTTATTTATGGCGTTCTTTGTATCTAAAATGCTTTAATATTTAGTTTTATTGGTTTTGAATGAAAGATAACAAAAAACTGAAGAGAAAATAATAATAGCAAGATGCCTATGTTCTTAGATTTGTCATGTATATTTAATTATTCTAACTATTTTATATCAAGCATAAATGTCTAATATTATGGTATTCTGGAACAGAATGGTGCCTTTTGGTACCAATTGGAAGTTACTCATTATTTTCCTGACATCTTGTATATTGTGCATGGAGAACAACTATATACAGGGTATTTATTTACCTCTCCTCTCATCATTATATACGGATTTATCCGTATATAACTTATATACGGATTTATCCGTATATAAATTATATACGGAAATTATATACGGATTTATCCGTATATAAGTTATATACGGATTTATCCGTATATAATTTCCGTATATAAATTATATACGGATAAATCCGTATATAAACTTAGCTACGACGGTATTATATACGGATTTTTGTCCGTATATAATCCGTATATAAACACGTATTATATACGGATTTTAGGTCTTATATACGGATTTTAGCTGTATGTAATACACTTTTTTCTTGTAGTGAGAAGACCGTACAGTGGGTAAAGGGCTTAAGCCTGGAACTCGCCCTCTAGTACGTCCTGTCCGCCCTCAACCTCTGGCCTTTCAAGGATAGTGTTTGCCATCGAGCCCCTAAGACCATGGAGGAGCTGCGTGAGAGAGCAGCCGATGAGATAAGGGTAGAAGAAATGAAGTAGTCATATAGGAAAGAGGGCCAAGAGGTCAAGGGAGAAAAGACTGACGGAAGGAGATCAGACGGACAAACCGGAAAGCTCGGAGGGTTCAAGCAGAGAGAGCCTAGGGGACCGCGATTCTAGCAGTATACCTCGCTGAACGCCCCACGGGCAAGGATATTTCAAAAGGCCTTGAGTCCTGATTTAATCCGGGAACCAAAGAAACGACCCACGCTGCCCGGGGCGGATGACAACAAACTCTATTTATACCAAAAGAACATCGGTCACACCGAAGAGTGTCTGGCCCTAAAGGACAAGATCGAAGAGTTAATCGGAGCTGGACAATTAAAGAAATACGTGAAGGTTGATCGTCTCGAGGCACCACTATGGGGACCACGAAGTCTCCGGCGGACGAGTCCACGAAGACCGGAGAGACATGAAAGATCAAGACATGGTCTGACAGACCACTCGCGGTCCGAAAGGCGGCGAAGAAAAAGCTGCAGTAGGAGCCATGACCGCCCCCTACGAGGAAATATCAACATGATCTCCGGAGGATTCGCGGGAGGTGGGCCCTCATCGTCAGCTCGAAAATGCCACGTGCGGGCCTTACGGTTCGTTCACGCAGTAGGTAAGCCATAGAGAACGATGACACCCATAACCTTCTCAAACGAAGACTTTCACGCCCCCGACCCCAACCAAGATGACCCTATGGTAATAACAGCGGAGATTGCTCGCTATAGCGTCAATAAGGTGTTGGTTGACCAGGGAAGCTCGATGAACATCCTCTACTGGAAAACGTTCCAGAAGATGGATATCTCGGATGACCTGATTGTCCCGTATAATGAGCAGATAGTGGGTTTCGCGGGCAAAAGTGTGGACACTCGAGCATACGTTGATATGCGCACTTGTCTGGGAATCGGTCGAGACAGTGAAGAGAAGAGGGTTATGTACCTATTTGTTGAAGCTAACACCTCGTATAATGTGCTCCTACGCCAACCGTGTTTGAAAGCCTTTGGAGCAATCGTGTCAACCCCCCACCTTACCCTGAAGTATCCATCTGACAGAGGAACTATCTGTACGGTCTGAGCAGATCAGAGGACGCCAAGGGAATGTTACGCGGCAGGTTTGAAAATTCATACTCAGACGATTAAGAGAAGTACGAGTGGGTCGGAAGTGGCCATGGCAGATCTTGACCCGTGAACAAACACCGAAGACTAACTAGAGCCGCTTGGGGAGACAGAACTATGGCCCGTGGGCTGGAACCAGAGTTGGAAAGAGAAATCAGGTCCGTCCTATGGTGAAACCGAGACTTGTTCGCCTGGTGGACAACCGATATGCGGGGAATCCATCCCTTGATCATGTCGCACAAGTTAGCGTTGTTTAAAGAAGCGCGACAGGTAGCACAAAAGAAGCAACGAATGTGGGAGGAGAAGAGGAAGGCTGGGGAGGAGGAAGTGAGGAAGTTGAAAGAGGCAGGATTCGTCAGGGAAGTGAGATACACCACATGGCTCGCCAATGTGGTTATGGTAAAAAAGCCAATGGAAAATGGTGCATGTGCACCGACTACACTCACTTGAACAAAGCTTGTCCCAAGGGCTCCTACCCTTTGCCCAACATTGACGCATTAGTTGACGGGGCCTCGGGCCACAAAATGTTGAGTTTTCTGGACGCATATTATATTCTAGCTACAACCAGATCCCCATGTATGCGCCCGACCGGGAGTAGACGACGTTCATCACCGATAAGGCAAATTTTTTCTACGAAGTCATGCCCTTCAGTTTAAAGAATGTTGGGGCCATGTACCAACGATTGATGGACAAGATCTTTTCTGAGCAGATCGATCGATGTATGGAGGTGTATGTAGATGACATGGTCGTCCGCTTGACGGACGTACGACATCATGTGGGAGACCTGGAAGAGGTCTTCAAACAGGTCAGGAAATATGGGATGAGGTTTTGAATCCCACGAAGTGCACTTTCGGGGTGGCGATCGAAAAGTTCCTTGAATTCATCCTTGAACCGTTTTTATCGAAATATGGGTCATTAATGAACTTTTAAAAAAGGTAGGACGACTTTGAACACAACGCCCCAAACTAGGTACCAAATGATGTATTAAGCCAATTATAAATGCTTGAATGAAAGGGTTATGATGAATGAAAATTTTGAATTGTGAATTTTAGATAAAATTTGGGACCACTAATGCAATAAAGGTTTTTTTTATACCGGTTAAAAAATATATTTTATATCAATTCTTAAATCAATATAGAAACCATGGGTATAAAGAGATTGAATTGGATTTAAACCGATACAGAAAATGTCACCCTTATATCTCAATCCAAGAGGGGATGAATTAGATTTAAACCTTTTTCAAAATCTTTTTCAAATCTTTAAATAGTTATTGAATATTGAAATCAATAACCAAAGATAAATGAATCAACCAAGTAAAGAAAGATGAAAGAAAAATCAAAGAACACAAATATTTATATTGGTTCAGCTTCTCACAAGCCTACATCCAGTCTTCTTCCAACAACCTGAGTTGAGAAACAATCCACTAAATCAAATTTGAGTTTGAGAATACAATGAAACCCTTAATTGATATCCTCACCACTCTCAAATCGGAATACAACACAAACAAGAGATGAAACATTCACTCTCGACCAATACAAGAGATGAAACACTCAATCTCTAATCTGGCCAACCCAACACAGGTGTCACAACACTCAAATGAATGATAAACTGATTAGAACACACTCTTATAGTGTAGAAGTATCAGTCCAATTGATCTTGAATGAATTCTTGATTTGCTTGATCACCAATGAAGTTTAAAATCCTCCAAGAACACTTCTTGAGAAAACATGTACTCAAAACTCAGAGAATGTTAGTATATGCCAATTAAACGTTAAAGAATAGGTCTCAAGTCTGGTTTATATAGAAAAATCAAATCTTGTCGCAGTTTAATTGATTCTGTTAATAGTGTAATCTATTAAGCTTTTCTTTCTGTTTTAATCGATTATGGTACTTATGTAATCAAATATAGAGATGACCTAGTAGATTTAAATGTGTTCCATATTGAGATATTGTTTATCAAGATTTTGTATTTCTAAACGAGACAATGATACAATATTATTGTTTGACTTAGAACGTGAACACGAATGATATTAGTCATAATAGACTAATTTAACATGTAAATGTAATAATTATAATAATTTATCTAACTAAAAACATAAACAAATTAATTAAAAATTTAGAAAATATTTTATATGATTAAATATTATTTTAATATTCATTTATATATATATATATATATATATAAACAAATTTTCAAAATAAAAAATTTAAAAAAGATTGAAAACAAATTAATTTAAAAAAATAAAAATAAAAAGAAGAAAAAAATGACAAGTGAACTAGCTCGACTTGTTTGTCAGCATGTTATGTGTGATGAATTGTCATTGGTTCGCTTTTGTTTGATAGATCAACCCAACTCGGCTCGTTTTGAAATCCCCAAAAACCACTACAAATGAAATCTCTCATCATTAAAATAATTGTCAAATTTACACGTTAAAAATAGTTTATGACAAAAATATTTTAAATGTTGATAAATTTGCTAGAAAAGGAAAGCAGTCATGTGAGACAAAGTTGTAACAGGCGTGAAAATAGATGGCGAACGTGAGTGATGGAGGTAGAAATGAGATAAACAAAGTTGAAGGGGAAAATGTGTGAAATACTTTGTATACTAGCTGTGGATTTAATTGGTACAAAAAATAATGCTTTATCTACTCTCTATATCTATATCAATTTTGAAATAGATATAAAAGATCCTTTTAATATGTATAAAAATGTTTTCCTGGTTATGTGTATCCAATTTTTTTTAAAATTAAATTAAAAGTAGTGTCAATCTATTAACTATTATGTATATATTAGACCGATCACATTGACCTGGTCTCTCCTCTGTAAATTTTCCTTAAAAAATCCATAAAAATTAAATGACTAAGTTAATATATGAATCATTTCAAATACTTTTTTAGGTTAGATGTTGTGATTAATGAAATTTATATTTTCAAATCCTCTATGTTTTATATAGATTACAATATGATCCTTACAAACTTTTTCCAATAGTATTTTTCATAATATTTCCTTAATCAAATTCAATCGAACATATCAAAATACAAACTCAAGAATTTTAATATCAATAGCATTTAATAGACATTACATAGTTATAATGAAATTATAGTTGAAAGTAAAATTTCTTACGAAAAAATCATCTATGTTCCACACAATAAAGGAGAGTAAGAATTACTCGAACTCTTAGAGCTAAAGAAAAATGTAAAAGAACTAGCAAAATGTATGGTTTAAGTTCCATCCATAACTATAAAACGACTAATCTGCAATCAAATGTTTTCTCTCTGACAAAAAAATAATTAAGGAATGATGAGTATAACAGTGACAAAAAAAAATCAATTGCTAATTTAAACGTTGTTTAACAGCTTATGTCATATTCTTTTTATTTTGGTTTAATATTTTGGTAGGTTCCTATTTTCATTCAGAATCTCAAATAGGTTTCTTTTTTTTTCGGCGTCTCAATTGGGTCTTAGTTTTGTAAAATTGAATCGAATAAAGGTTTGCCGGCAAATTGAAAAGACGCTGTTAAGGAGGGTGTTACGTGGTATGCTGATAGTATACATGTGTAAGGGAAGTTGGCATGCTGATGTGGCATGCTGACACCCTGATGGTCGGCCTGGTGGTCGGACACTCGGTCTGGTGGTCGGCCACTCAGTCTGGTGGTCGGCCACTCGGTCCACTGAAGATGTTTACTTGCTTCACGCTATCAAGAACAATATTCTGACAAATTGGTTGCAAGTAATCAAAGACCATATGAAAAATGCAGCATTAAAACGATCATATCATTTACCATATGTTGTATTCATAAGCAAGATACTTGTGCTACAAGGTGTAGACATTATTAATGAGCAGAAATGCTTATGGGACTCCACAAATGTGTTTGACAGAAACTCTGTTATGTCTCTTGGATTAGTTAAGACTATGAAAGGATGGTGTTTCATAGGTGAAGAGGATTTTGTTTACAGCTCAGGGAGTGCTCCAACAGCAAATATAGAGCATACAAACTTCTTTCCATAAACCAATTTTGAGAGGTTTGCAACTGATCAGTTTAGAACTCTGAACGATAAATTCAATCATCTTGAAAGAAGGTTTGATCAGGCTCAGCAACGAAAGGAAGACAGCTCTTCTGAGGAGGATTCTATGGAAACTTCAGATACCGAATAGGGTTACTAGGAGATGTGTTAGTCTATTGATGTGTGATGATGTGTTTAGTTTGTTTGCTTTAATGTTTTAAGTGTTTCTTTTGTAGTAGGCTTTATATGCCATATTTCTTATTGGTTAATCTGATTGTAATATCTTTTCAAAATTAATGAAATCAGATCTTTAGTTTTAATTCGATCAGTGTTGATATTGTGATTGAATCTATTTATATCTTATTAAAGTTAATTGTGTTATGTATGAAGCTGATTGCTTTACTGTTTATCATTGCATTCATGCATTTACACACACAGATTATACCTGTAATAATTCTTTCATTACAATGATTCTAAAATGCTTGATTTGGAAAAGATCTTGAAAGCTTTTGCAGGAACATTGCTTCTGGATGAACAACTGGAGATTAACTCAAATGGAAAGCAATGAAGTCGATTGCAACAGTGGATCAATCAATTACTGTTTAACAGGGGTTATAAATTCCATGATTTGGAATTTTGCTATTCTGTTTATTGATCACATATTATTAATTGTTTCTTTTTCAATATATCTTTTGTCTTATAATTGATTGAAATTACTTGAGATAATATTGAGATTATTGATTGATATTGTATCTATTGTTGATTGATATTGTATCTGTGCTTCATTGATGTGTTTGCACAATTTCTGTCTTGATACAATACTGTCACATGCTTATACATGCTCTGAAATGTTCTGTGAGAATTGCATTGTGCATTTGGGTTTTGATTATAAAACATGCATAATGGCAGGGGGAGCATTGCATATGATCTTAGATAATTTCACATGCCTACAATTAAGGGAGAGATTATATCTTTATCATGTGATTATCTGTGACAGGGGGAGCATCATGGTTTGATTAATATGATTTACTGATGCATCTCTGAATAATTGTTTGTCAGCATATCATTATCATAAGGCATACCTTTTTTGCTAATACACAAAGGGGGAGAATGTTGGGAGAATGCTCTAATATTCATTTCGAGCTCTGATATACATTTATTTTGCTCTGATATACTCTGATATGTTTTGATATGAATTGATATGTATTTTCTCTGAATCAAAAATGAGAATATTTCAACGTTTGCTCTGATCATTTACTCTGATATATTTTGATATAATATGATTTGATTTGTACAACATGGTTATTTATTAATCATGGTTGTGCATCATCAAAAAAGGGAAAGATTGTTGAGATTGTTGATAATGGGAGCACTCGTTTAGCCAAACCTTACAAGCTCAAAGAACTTCTGGTTTTTTATGATGACAACATAATTAATAACAACATGTGTTGTTATGTGTTGTTAAATGTGTTACATGTTCATAACTTTCATGTTTATGATTATTTGAGAATATGTTTGTGTTGATTCTGTCATTGTTGCAATTCACTGTGTTTTACATGAGATTTTATCTATGAATGCATGACATATGTTTTAGAAAAGGAAAATCACATGCACTTTAGTTGAACTTATAATATGTGGCAAAACAGTAGTTTTAAGTCGACTTCATTACGAAGTAAATCGATTAAAACTCGTGGCTTTGCACAAAATTTTTCAAAGTTAGTTGTGAGTATTTTTGGAAAGAAAGTTTTTTAAAACTGCATTGAAGTATTACAAAATCGACTGTATGCGCAAGCTACTCGACTTAGTTAGTTATGTTTTGAAATTCTGTTAATGCTTGTGATGTCTAAACGACTATATTTTATATCTTTGACCAAGCATTGATTGTGAGTCAACTGTATTAAATGCGAAATCAATTAAGTTGGTTTTACTGCTATTAACTGTTATAATTGTGTGAGTACAATCAACTCTATTAGTAGCATAGTCGACTTAGGAGCGTCAGTTTTATGGAAAACTATATATAGAAAAAAATTTAATTTCTAAAGAGACTTTTGTGAATCTAACATTTTGATTGAATTGTTTCAGATTATAAATCTATGGTAGAACGTACTAAAGCTCAAAGAATCCATCAAGAAAGACCGAGGTATTCATTCTTTGGTGATTGCTTGACGAGCAAGAATCTGTGCGCATTGACTAATTGATCAACCTGCACTTGAGGTGTCTGATACGTGATTAACTTCTTCTCTCGATCTTGTGAAGATTGTGGCTGCCCTGTTGTGACTACAGGAAGAGAACGTGTGGCGTTTTGGACTTTGAGGATTGTTCAAAGTGATTAAAGACTGCAGGAGAAGGGACATCTTGCTATTTTTCTTTGTTTGTACATGCCTATATTTTGATTAGAGGGTTAGAGAGGTGTTTTATATTTTGACGTGGAGGTCGCTATAAAAGCCTTGTTGTAAAAACCTTGATCATTATAGTGCATTTGTTTCCTGGGATTGGAAGGACACTGGATGTAGGCAGTTTGGCCAAACCAGTATAAAAACCTGCGTTTGAATTCTCTATCCCTACACTTTTAATTTTCTAAGTCGACTTTACTTTTAACATAGTCAACTATTTCCGCTGCACTTAAAAAATCTTATTCCTTGCGATTCAAGAAACTTTTGAAAGATCATCCTTTATGAATTTTGGTATATGACAATTAAGTTATTACCAATTTCATGCGTCATTGGCAGCTACTTGTGAACTCCTTGCCGGAAAACATTGCTATCTGGTTTTGTTCATTGCAGAAGTCTCCTCCCAGCCTTCTTAGACAAGTAGTAGATTGGTAAGAACCTCAATGTTTCAACTTTCTTTGTTATATAAATGTATGCTAAAGCAATTTTTTGTTAATAGTTCCCTTGCAACATATATGATGTTGTCTGGGAGATCTACTGCTATAGCTAAAAAGCTTGCATGGATGACCCTTAAGGTTTGGTATTTTAGTCCATACTTTGTTAAATTTTGTACCATTACAATGATGTTACTTAACATTTTATAATTATGATGATATATTGTAGTGTAATAGACAAAACAGATCATATGAGTGTGGTTACTACGTCATGTATTGGATGATGACCAATATTCGTACACATAAAACCAGTGAATGGGAAACAATAATATTTAGGTTTGAATTTTATTTTCTCTATAGTTTAGATTTCATATACACTAATTGAAATCATTGTGTTTTATGCAGATATTCAATATGACTACTCCAATTCCAGATAAATCACTTAAACTTGTGAGAAAAGCATTGGCTAAATATCTAATTCATCTATATAATAGTATGTAGTAGATATTAGGATATAGTAAGTTCTAATTTTATGCTTCTAAGTTGTTTTATGTTTTTGTACATTATTATTAGTTTAACTTTGTACATTGGATTGATTTATGCTTCAAAGTTAATCTATGATTACATTGAATTGATTTATGCTTCTAAGAAGTTGATTTATGATTACATTGAATTGATATATGCTTCTAAGAAGTTGATTTATGATTACATTGAATGCATTTATGTTTTAATATAATTTTTATTGAAAATATATGCTTCTGGATTGTTCTGGCTATAAAATATATGCAGGTCTGTTTCTATAGTTGGGAATGTTGCAGAAACAGACATGTTCTTAAAAAAATTAGAGGAATACGCCTCGATTATGACCATAACTGAGGTAGAAAACCCTCTATGACATCGGTTCAGGCCACAACCGAAGTAGAAAGTCTTGCGAAAAAGCAAAAAAAAAAATTAAAAAACACTCTACTGCCTCGGTTGGGACCAGAACCGAGGCAGTAGGGGCCTACATACTGTCTCGATTCAAAAGGAACCGAGGGGTAAAGTCATTCGAAAAAACAATAAAAACAAAAATAAAAATCCTACTGCTTCGGTTATCTTTGAACAGAGGCAAAATCCTACTATTTTATGTCTCGGTTGTGAATCGAGGCATAAAAGAGTAGACTTTTTGCCTCGCCTTTATATTCTCGGTTTAGAAACCGCTGCTTATGGGCGAAAATAATAGTTGTCGTTTCCCCTAACTGCAGTAGTGTGTTTGTTACCATTCAGTGATTTTTCCACTGGAAAAAAGTGAATATATATTAATATAATATGTTAAACAATGTTTTTCCTTCTTTGTACACAATCCTATTAGAATTAATGTCACATGGTAAACGTGAATACTTCATAAGAATTTAAATTTTAATTCCTTAATGAGATAATTTAATAAGCAAAGTCACACTTTCTTGAAATTAAGTTTATTTAACTTATTTTTCATTGTACATTTTTCTTAAATCACAACAGTACCGTTGTTCTTATTTATAAGAAAAAGATCACTATCTAAGATAAAATAGATTCTCAACATAATTTTCCCATTAATGAAACACAAACAGCTAAAGTTCTAGAAAAGGGGTGAGGAAAATCACATATATGGGCGAAGAGTATACCAATACAAAATTAACAATAATTCAAGTTTATCTTAATCCATTTGAACATGAAAAGAAGTATTTATTTGAAGATTTTTCCCTTGGAAACATAATTTTGATCTTAACAGTGAAAAAACAAATTTCATTCTCTTCAACTACATTGCATAACCAGTGTTGAAGCTTTGCAGAACCAATAAACAACTTAACAGAACTGTTGATGCAAACACATCAGGCAAGGCTTTATGAAATCCTTTAAATTTAGATTCATACTGTATATATAATTATATAAAACCCAAGTTATTTTTCAAGAAGAAGGAGATGAAAAATACAAATAATGCAAAAAAAAATGAAAAAATTACAGGGAAAAAACACAGAAACTGAAGACATGTTAATTGGTCTTATTTTCCTATTTTCAACTTGTTCTTTTCATTAGCTTCAAGAAAATCTTGTTATTAGCTTTGATGGTTGAGTCCATTTGGAAAGTATATTTCTTTACATGTTTCCCTCTCTTCCTCCTTAAGCAAAGATTGTACATTTGTCCTCTTCTCAACATTTGGGAAGATCACTTGGAGGTGGTAGCAATGACTCATTTGGTCCTTCACCATTGTCCACCACAAATGCCATCTTTAGTCCCCATGTAGTGTGAATTTCCAAATGGCAGTGCATAAACCAGACACCTAACCAAACAAAGAAAAACATGTGAGAAAAAATGCGACAAGCAATGCAAAATCTTCAATCTTTCTATGAACATTGAAGCCTCATAGTTTTATCAAACAGTTAAAAACTGAGCACTTCACCTGGATTATCAGCCCTGAATCTAATAGCAGTCCACCCCCCAGATGGAACACCAACTGTGTTTCTCTCCACAGGATCAACAAGATTAAACTTTTTGGTGTCCCTTTTGGGGTTGAAATTCCCTTGTCCTCTACCAACCACGAAGAAGTTGAATCCATGGAGATGAATAGGATGGTTCTCAGGCGTAATCATTCCAGTATCTTGCAACACTAACTGAACAGTGGAGTTGTAGGGAAGTCTGTAGACCCTTGTCCCTCTGTTGGTCCTCAAATTTGCAGGTTGTTGTGTTCCTGTGAAGTCATAAACCACTGTAGGCTTTCTGGGAAAATCATCAGTGAAAACTCCACTTATGTTGAAGAAATGTGCTTGGAGGAGAGAGACTTTTGGCATCACAAAGGTCACATTGTTGATGGCTGCAACCACCCTACTACCGTTGACACAAGTGGGACAAGGGTTGACTCCAAGGCTGACAGTGAAGAACAGGGAATGGTCAACCTTTATAGGGACTCTAGCAGGGTAGGTTTTGGAGTTTAGGCTTCTGAGTGAGTCAGTGAAGGTGGTAGCAACTGGGGTGGCATTTTTGGGAGGTAAGGAAGTGAGGGTTGTGATGGTGGAACTGAGTGAGCCTGCGTAGTGCAATGTTGCAGTGGCAGTCACATTGTCCACTGCAATAGGAGAGTCCATGAAGGGAGTGGCTGCTACTAAGTATTTGCCTGTGGCACGGTTGGCTTTCAGAAGCACATTTGTGGTTTGACCAGGTGCAATAACTATGGTGTTGGTTTTCAAAGGTTTTGTGTAGACAGCATCAACCTCAACAACAGTGAGTTCGTGACCTGCAATTTTAAAGAACAACTCTTCATTCAGTGCAGCGTTGATTATTCTTAGCAAGTAGGTGTTTCCAGCATGAACTTGAAGTTTGTACCCTCCTGCATGGTGGAAGTTACAATATATTCAGTCTTTGCCATTTCTGTAATTGTCAAAAGGAAATAGACAGTATCTGTGAATGAAATCATTTCCATCTTATAGTAAGTTTCACCTTTAGAGGCACACTGTTGAACAGATCCTGGATGACCATTAATGGTGTGAGCATCAGACACATTTGGGGCCAACCCAGATTTCAATGCTTCCTTTATTATGGCCTCTGTATCTGATTTCCACCATTCACCTGAACAAAATTAAATTTTTCAAAAACTGAGATTTATTAATTCCATATAAGACAAAAGCTTATGTTAAAATGTGTTATTAATGTATTCTTTTCTCTAATCTGTTTTGAATATCTTAACAGGTTAGCAAAATCTTATTTCTTTTCTCTGATTCAATGAAACAGTATGAAAATTATAGAGGAAAATGCAGGGAAACTGACTCAATAGGATAACTTTCTCTGCATTGGGTTTGGGAAAAGGGTAAGGAACTCCAAGCTTGGGCAAAATGACCAATGCACCATGCAAAGTTGACCTAAGCCACAGGATATGTGCATGCCACCAAAGTGTCCCTCTCTGCCCTGTGAGGGTGAAGTTGTACACAAACACCTGACCCGGTTGAATTGGGCATTGGGTTATGTATGCAGGCCCATCGGCCCAGCCCGTCCTCAATTGTCTCACCCCATGCCTGTTCAATTTTAATTCACCATCAAATTAGTAAAAAAAAAAAGAGTCAAAGTTTGACTTTAGAGTATATACTAATTCTAGCACACCCACCAGTGGATGCTAACATTGTACTTCACATGGTTAACCACCTTCACCAAAACAGTATCATCTTCCCTAGCATAGATAGTGGGCCCTGGAAACTTTCCATTTACTGTTACTATTGGCTTGGTTGAACACAATCTTGTGACATTCTTCACCACCACCTGTCCATAACATAAACCAGTTAAGGTTTGATCAACAAACATAATAAAGTGTAACTGCATGTCTCAGACATCCACCAAACTTGAGTGCCTTGCATTGCTCAACAATATATATGTCTCTACCAAAGATATGCATGGCTATACATATATACACATAAGCATGCATACCATTTATAACGATTTATAAAAAGATATAGGTTTAGTTGATGTAAAAAGTTAAGACCTCTATACTAAAATACAGTATAGTAAACACTTTTTACATGAAATGATGGAAAAAAGAACGTTATATGATGATAACTAAAATGAGAGTGAAATGCTATATGCAATTCACCTACGTTGAACTTGTAGTGGCGAACCATGGCTTCCACTGAAAGAGGAAGCATGCAAGCCGCTAACAGAAGAATGATTCTGATCCACATGATGATGGCCATGAACAGCTTGAAGTCTCTCTGCCTCCACAGAAGATGGTAGCTTTTTGTTTTATGACTAGGTAGCTGTCTTTGTGGAATGCACAATGCAAAGCAAGTAAGAGGGGGCATGCTTATAAAGAGGTATAGATCTCTGTTGTCATGTCCTTTTAATCAGTTGGTTGAAGACGGAATAAGCAGAATTAGTAAAATATTATATAGAGCAGAAGACAAAAAGAAGATGGGCAGAAAGTTGTATTATTTTTCTTGTATATCACATAAAGTAGCAAGTTATCCATCAACTAAGACAACTTTTGAAGCTAAGAAAATTGAGTTTTCTGGGTGATGTTTTTTTTATTATGTTTATTTGTTTGTGATGGACTAGGTGGTCACATCAGATACTGGGTTTGGTCTAACCATATTGGGTGAAGTACAACGATTCTCAGCTAACATGGCAATTGGTGGAATGGATACACGGCTTCATCTTATGAAGTCAAGGAGATGACAGATACACCACAACAAATTATGAAATCTTTAACTATGAAAACTGTGTTGCTTTTAATTAGTATCTGTTATTGGAGTTTTTGGTTTGGTTGTTACAAACTAAATTTCTGACATAGAGGTTCCACTTCTTGAAAATAAAGTCATTCATGTACGGAAATGCAAATTATTAACTTGTAATTAATTATTCGCTCTCTGCCATATGGAAAACGTGAATTTTGAATGGGTTTAGGGTATGATTAATTATAATTATGTTAATATAATTAATTACTGCCACAATTCATTATAATTAAAACTTTGTTTAAATAAATTTATTGAAAATTTAATTTTTATGGGCAAAATTCTTGATCCAAAGATCTAATAGAATAATATGTGTAGAGAACTATATAGACAGGCGAAAAATATTTGAATAGTGATAATTAGTCTATAAAAAAAAAAAAAGAGAATGTTAAAGAGTAAAGTGAGGGAAAATTAAAAATAGAAATTCTTCAAGAAAAGACTAATATACACTTTCTGGTGAGTTCTACTGCTACTTGAATATGATTTAATTTTAATAAAATATTATATTAATGGTAAAAATATATTAAAAATGAAGTTTCTAACAGATTCTTCCATAGATTGGTGAGGAACTTGACATCATGGTAAGAAAAGAATTATCGTAAAAAATTGAAACTGTGACTCATAAATTGTTTTTAATAACTTAAAAGTTTATATGTTTGAAATATTTTTGCCAACTCAAATCAATTCGCATTAGGCACACTTGCCAAACCACTTTTATTTGAATCAAGCTTTAATTCCTTTCACTTTGCGTTGAAATATTTTTGACGAACATCAAAGATGTTAAATGAATACATCAAGTTTCAGGTATTATTTTAACAAATAAACTTTTTAATTTAACTCAATCACCAAAAATTAATTTATAAAATGAATTTTACATTTTACTAGTCTCACATGTAAGATGGTAATAACTTAGTGTGAGATTGATGTAATAATGGATTTCAATAAATTTTTGTTAAAATGATAAAAAATTTAACTTAATTCATCCTCACAAAATTAAATTGGAATATAAGATTATTTTCACTTACATAAGTGCAAATTAGTCTAATGTGGGTCAAACATAGAATCTCTAATAACATAATTTTTCTTTAATATTTATTGTTTGATATTCATTAATAGTGTTAATAATGATTAAGTATGGATAGTATACAATATTTTTTACCGTAATCTCATCACAATTATGGACATAATTTTTAAGGTAATTATGATAAAAATTAATGAAATAATAACATGGCACTTTGTGATTCGATAAGCATGTGGCTTTTTAACATTACCAAAAGCAAAGAGTTGAACAAATGTTATTAATTATACTATTGGTGATTTTTCTATGGATTTAGCATTTTAACCTTTAAGGGGGTGTGGTAGTGGGTGAGGGTGACATAAGTATTAATGGTAGCCCAACAAAAAGAATATTGGTGAAGAATGGTTTTCAGAAATTGCTGACAGTGGAAGATTAATATTTCAGATCAAAATTACAAGTTTGTTTTCTTGAAAATCAGATATTGGAGGAGTTGGTAGCAGTTCATCTCATTAAACAACTCTTATCATCACATTCATCAATTTAATAATTAATTCAAATTGTACACATTTTTCTAACTCCTGCCGTCTTTCAAAACAGACGAAGTAATATCTAAGCATTTTAAGCCTAACAAATATTAGTCAGTTTAATAATATTATTTTAACCTTTCAGCATTTTAACAGCAAACAACTACTAGAACAAAAAAAAAAAAAAAACCTTGACTTTGGTTACCCTTGCATCCCTTCAGAAATGCTTCTGTTAAATAATTTCTTTGTAGTAGATACTTCAAAGCATCACAAATTACAGAGTGACATAATTTTGTCATGATTATTTTTTTTCTTTTATAATAAATGAATGTTGATATAGACATGCAAACGTGGTATTATCTGTGTTTGTCTGATTAAATTTAAATGAGTGAATGTGATGGTGTATGAAACTATTTACAAATAAGAAGTATGTACTTTGTGGTACAATTGTTGACGTAACACAAATTTATAGTTGGTTAGGTTTATACACGTAAGGCTTTATTTTATTTTTCTTTTCAAAAATAAAATAATTGTATTGTAATGTATCACATAATGTTTGATGTACTCACCTAAAACAATCATGTAGATAAATTCTTCTATCCCTCTCAATCATAATGCATGTTTACCAATAGTGTTTGGATCACTCTCACGGTGGTGTAATTAGAGGTTTGATACTTTAAATTTGAATCCTATACACAATTATGTGCATGATGTTATGTATTTCAAATATACAACAATTTATTTGGAAAAATATATAATATAATGTACTATATAATCATTTGGTCAGTCACACGCCAGATGGTCACCGTTAGGAACGAACGGTCAAAGAATCAAAATAATCAGTCAGTAATCAAGACAATTAACCTTAATGTTGACCAACTTAGAAGTAAAGTGTCCCAATTGGATTGTAATTAGATCGTTCCTAATCAGAAGTTCACACTAGTAAAAAGTTTGGATTTTGACGCCCATTATACGCCTCGGTTATACGAAAACCGAAGCGTATAACGTTATATACGTCAGACCTTATCCAAACCGTTTTAGAACACACTTATTGCATCGGTTCCCCGAAACCCGTGGCCTATACAAGCTACTGCCTCGGTCCAATTCACAACCGAAGCCTATAAGCCTAGTCTGATTAGACTGCACACTGACAAAAAAGTCTGACCACTAGCTACTGCTTCGGTTCGCCAAGAACCCGAAGCCTAAACAGCACCTATTGCATCGGTTAATTTGAAACCGGTGCCTAAAGGGTACCTTACTGCTACGGTTGGCTTGCAAGCCGAGGCCATAACCACCTGCTCCTGCACGCGCCTGTTCAACCGCTACCTTATTGCCTCGGTTGGCTTTCAAACCGAGGCCATAACCACCTGCTCCTGTCCAACTGCAGCTTCGCGCCTAACTGCTGGAACGTGTAGGGCTTCGGTTAAGAAGAGAACCGAGGTCGATGCCTCACATATTCTACACCGTAGATGCTTTTAACCGAGGCAATATGGGTAGATGACTTCGGGTCTAGAGGGAACCGAGGTAGTATCCCAAATTCATATTTTCCAATCCCGACAGCTTC